ACACGGCCTCAACCTCGCCCATGTTAATTGGCGAGGATCGATTTTCCTGGAAACGATTACACGGCCGCGGCCTCACGGTCGTTCGATCGCGCGTTCGGGATCCTGGTTTCGCGTTAGAGGCGAAGCGGTTACCTGGAAAACTTGCGACGATGGTCTCGCGAGGATTAGCCGTGGCAAACGATGGTCACGAGATGCGAGACATCGGTGGACGGACGGAGATGACGAAGATTAGGCGTCGCGACGATATCTCGCACAGGGTGTACCGCGCCGTCACCTTTCCAACGCCATTTGCGTGCGAAATGTAATAAAACCAGACGTAAAACGTTTTTGAACCTATGCAGAATACGCGAATGCGCTGACAGCGATATATCTACGTTTTCTCCTAGACGTGTAATATATGTTTATCGCGTTATACATACCTATATATATTGCTCTCTAATTGTATATAGATATAGGTACGTATATACGTGCATGTACAACGCGTTGCACGAAGCGGATGAATGAATGCTGTGAATAAAAGTAAGTAGGTTAACGAGAACGAGATCGTATGTTCCGAAAAACGCGATCTCGTTCTGTTTTTTCCTCCACGCTGACTCTGTTCTCTTCTTCTCGCTCTTCCCGAATCGCCCCCGTAAGCCATGGCTGGAAATACGGGATCGAAATGGCGCTATCCTCGAGACCAGGTCCCATGCGGGCCAAATTGTTAAATCGAATTCGAAACGAATCGAACGTTCGCCACTTGCACGGTACGACGTATGTACCTTTTCTCCGATCCTTTCGCCAACACAACGCGAACTGTGCCCTATTGTCGTTTTGTTATCTACACGCGAGCTATAATACTCCCAGGCCGGGGGAATAATCATACGTATCTAGTTTCTGGTTCGAATCAATGTTTGCAATTGTGCTACTTGGAAATGTACGGGCCTCCGTGGAAGCGTTTTATACGACGGCACGGAAACGGAGGAAAAGAACGCCTCACCTCCGGTTTTAACTTCTTTCCTCGTTATTAGATAACAATCGAGCACCGTAAGACATGCCTTCCTATCGCCACTGCTTTCAACCTGCCATGTACTCGCGTTTCTCGAATCATCGTTCCTTTCGTTCGTTTATACGAATCTCGCTCGTTTAATTTCGAGAGATCGATGCCTTTCGAGTGCCACCCACGTACTTCCGTTCTTGTCAAGATTCTTAATTGCCCCGCGCAGCCAATAAAAAGCATTTTCGTCCGTTTCTTCTCTTCTTCTATGACCTGTCTCGTCAACCTTTTATTTATATCACCCTCATCGCGACGTTGCGAGGCTGCTGCTTCGACGATGTCAGACCGAGACAAAACTATGCATTCGTGCGTCATCGGTTTGGAGTTGCGCTATGGAATCGTTGAATCGAAGTTGTACCAAGCGAGTTACGTGAAACGTGGATCACCGATGATTCACGATAGCGACTAGAGGTAAAATTTTCATTCATCCAGCAAACGGAGATATCTTTTGACTCGTTTTTCTGTTAACATTCGTGTAAAAGATCAAATCGTCAAGGATATTCTCGTGACATGCCGCTGGTTGTTTTACGATGCACTCTATTGCGATGTAATGTTTCATTCAGCGAAATTCATTAGGTACAATGACGATGAACATTTTCGACTTCCGTAGGTTCAGCGATGACCCGAGGGAGGATGTTGAAATGTACCATTTATCTCTTGCTTTTTCTTCACCGATAAAAGCACACATTACGTGTTCATGTATGTACGTGGTTATGATACATGCATAGGTAAAGTGCATATTCCTTACGTGCATATGCATACTCGAACGCTTATGGTATACGGAAACTGCTTTCAGTGCGCTAAGTGCACGAAGCGCACACGATAAAGCGTGTGTACTTTCCTGATTAGTTTAAGGTAACGTCCCCGTCTTTCAGGAGTGTACCGTGTAATCCATCTTGTAGCTGGTCGTATCGAGCGAAGAAAGTACCGCGGTGAAAATAGAAAGCGTGACTAACAATTGGCTATTAATCGGGAAACGCAGTAATCGACGATTAGCGTTCCTGTTGCCTCGTTTTCCAAATCGATCTGCCATATTAAATCTCAGAATTTCTCATCGCAACGTACGAAAGGACGAAACTTTAAAATTTGGGCTTAATTTGTCCATTTACGATATACTATTTCGTAATGACGTGACTTTACAAATGTCATCGATCATCGATGAACGTGTCAATTAATAAACCTCGTTCCAAAAGCAACCGCAAAAGACCCAAAATATGCTGATTCGAGAAGTTTAAGATTCACGGAAGAAGCGTAGCTTGACGAGCGTACGCTCATGACCTACTTCTCTTTCACGTTTACTTCATCGATCACGCTCGTATACTTTTTCTTTCTTTTTTTCTTCCTTTTTTCAACTAAACTTTTTCGCTTCTGCGGTCACGATCGTTCATGTCGTCCATCCTCGTGCTTTCGTCCAGCCTCTGACTCACCGTATTGGAAACGGCAATTCGCATTTCTACGTTATCGCCTTCTAGAGCAATGCATTGGAATAACCTCGACTTTTTTCCCTCTTTCCTCCTTACTTTCCACTTTTACCAGCTAATCGTCGTTCCTTGGCGTTATGCGGCTTAATGCGCGACCGGATGCAGCACCTGCCACATCGTTGCTCCTTCTCTTTAGGCGGTTGAGGTAGCTTCCACGGGAATCAACCGAAATGCATATACCTGGTACACATCTCTCGGCAAACCGTAGATCGGTCACGGTGAACGCAAAGCGAAACGGCTTAACGTTTCAGGATTTGCGTATATCGCGTCGACGATATTACGTATACGGACATACCTATATACCTGTGTATACGTGTATAGCTAAAACGGATAATATGTATTTCCCGAAGGACCTGTTGGCGATGTGCCAATCCTAAATGCATCCTCGCGTCGTCTTCATCGCAATGCCGACGCTCTATGGTGCAGAAACGAGAAAAGGCCTCTAGCGTTTCGCGGGAGCGCATCTCATTGATCCGTTTAAATCACGAGCATCCGGAGACGTATATGTGTCATCTCGAAAGTCAGATATCGCCGATATTTTTCGCAGGATCGGTCTAGTTTTTCCAGTAATCTCAGCTTGACCTCGACTTTAAAGCCGATATCGTTGAATACCGTCGAGAAGTGACATGGAATTCATTTTTATTCCACGATATCGATGCCGCAGGGATGCGTGCACGTAAGCAGCGTCTCGTACCGACGTTGTTAATCATTTTCATCGTCGACGAATCTGTTCCGACAGAGATTTCTGAAGGCCAGCGCAGCACAAATGCCGGGAATGTAGGTTGTGCACCTGTTACTCTTCGAAAGCGTTTAACAACCAAGCTTGTTTGAAAATATTAACGCAACTTTCAGTCGATTATATGCTTTTTAACCGTAGAACTCTGTGTTACTACGTTGGGGCCAGTCGCTAGCGAGTTTCACCCGGTACATTTTACTGTCTACATACTTTTCTAGTTGTTACTTTGTCATTTAGGCAGGCGACTTTCGCGTGAAACGCGATAAATTTAAACGTCGCGATACTTTCCTTAGGAATAATTACTAAGTCACTTGTATATGCAGGTGTGTATTATTACGTTGAAGAATAGTGCTTTGTTTGTCGCCTTCTGCGAGCCTTTCTGTGGCAGATACAATTTAAATTTTTATTTCGAGAAGTCAACTACGAGATAGCACGGTTGAGTTTCTTTCTGAAAAAAGGAGAGCCGTGAGTGCCGAAATTAGGAAAATAAATATTGTTTAGAAAGTATAAAATAAAGTGGTTCGAATTATTTCGATGCGTGACAGTCGTGTTAACATCGAGAGTCAAGTATAATTTTTATGGTCCATGGAGCATTCGACATTTCGTCACAACTGGTTTATACTGGATACAACTACACCCAGAAGTTGTTCGAAAGAAATCGAACGTTGAATCCAATTTCGATATCAAACAGTGAAAGGTTAACTACAATGATTGACAGATTGAGAAATACAGCGGTGTACATTAGTCCAGTGCTACTTTGTTAAGATAATGTTTTTCGTTTAAAAAGAAATTCAATATACCTTTCGAGGTTCAAATTCAAACGTGGAACTAAAGGATGCTTTTAGGAGTGAGTAATATTCCCAAACTTTGAGTTACATCCGTTGACTAATCTGCGCTTGGCACTCGTACGATTTACTTTATTTTCGTTCCACTGTTTACTCAATTGCTCGAATACAATGGGCATATGTGAATAATGATAATGTTATCTCTTGCATTCCTTTCGTTTGATTCATTTTCCCGTTATCTGTTGCCACGGCCTCTTACACCTAAAAAAACAAGCTCGAAGCACACGAAAAAGAAATAAAATAGGGGCGAAGAAATTTCTGTATTATTTTCATGATCCAGCGTGCAAAAACGCGTTATTATCGGGTAACAGCCATAAATTTATGTAACTCCATACACGTGTCTACTGACGCACGATACGTTACCTTTAGTACCGATAAATTCCGCATTTCGTTCGACGGTGAAAAATATCTCGCGACATCGTTCTCCATTTCGCATCAAACTTTTTACAAGGCGGATACACACGAGGAAAACAGCCATTTCGAAAGAACCGGAGAACACAAGAAACTCGGCAAACTCTGTATTTCTTCGTTCAACCAGGATCTATCGATCTCTCGCGACAGACGACACGCTGGAAAAAGAAGCGTCGAAAAGAAGAAAGGAAAATCCACGAGTTTCGTATACTGAGTCTGGTGTCGCTGTGTGTTTAATCTTTCACGGTAGACGGGGACAGTCGAGGTATACGTCGGAAAAGAAATAACACAAGGAACTCGTAAGACTCGTTGGAAAACCGGACAGCAGGACGGATACGTAACAGGCTGGGAACAATGACGGACAGATTTGGTCGTGGGATGGAACAAGGACGGCGAACGAACACGATCAGACTGTGAAACGAGCACAGAGAAGGGGGAAAGTCTTTGGATTTCGCTTAATCTTCGACGCGAAACACAGAGTGTACCCACGCGTTAGTAGCACGAGACTCGTCGACTGGTAGTGTCGTTTCCTTTCGCTTCTCGTCACGAGATATAAGCCGGTACGTTCGATTTGTCCTCCTTCTCTTTAATATTTCGTGAACGGCGGGTAATACGCCTCGAACGTTGGTAAATGTTACCGATCGCAATGCCAGTGGTCGCAACTAGATACAGTTCATATTTTCGACGCAAGGTGAGCGACTGGAAAGTTGCAGTCGATGAAAGTACGGTATTCGAGATCGCTGTCATCGTTCGAAAGGCCATCGATTTTGACACAGTAATTATCTACGACAACACGGAGAGGGAAAGTTAAAGGATTTCAGTGACCTTTCATTCAGAGTCGTTTTACCGTGCATCCGTTATTGTTGCGTTTCTACGTGCTCGTGTATACTTACATATGTGTAAATATCGATCCTAAGCGAGTGGAAAATCGAACGCGTCCCTGCTTCATCTTTTAATTATTCTGTCGTTACTTTGTTTACGTTCTTCGGACTATTTTTATACTTATCGTTGATAATTCGACCTATAATACGTAAATCTTGGTGTTCGTGTCTGTGAAAGTCGATACATCGATCAAATCGAACCTGCGTCGAAATGTATTCGTAACGTATTATGCGTATGACGTATTAAATCGATACGTTTGTTTTTGTTTATCTCTTCGAAAGAAACTTTTGTCAAGTAACGAACGATATAGCTACGGTAACGTTCGAGGAAATTCGCAGCCGCATTCAACATTGTTGTCAGTTAAAGCGCCACGAGAAATACATAGTGCCATTCCGTTTACCGGACATGAAACGCGTTCCACGCGCGTTCGTTACAAATTTTCGTCGAGTTGATTTCGCGGAACGTCACGGAACGTCACGAAACGTTACGGAACGCTACGGAACGCTACGGAACGATCGAGTTCTAGGACGACGTGCCGTAAGAATTCCGACTCGATGCCTCGAGTCGCCAAGCAAGGTCATATTGGAAATTACACTTGCAGTCTGTAATTATACATTACTCGGCCGTGTTTACGACCGCCTTTGTACAAAGACGCATTCACGGTTTCTACAACGAGCGTGCCATCCTTTCCCCGGCATTCAGGCAATTTCACCACTCGCATTCTTTTCATTCGTATACCAGCAACGAACGGACGTTACAAAAACCGTGGTCGATTAAAGGGGAATAATTATCGTCAGTTAAATGGTTCGTCTTGCTTTTTCCCTTATTTTTTTGCTACGTCTTCCTCTCTATCCACCCTCCCCAATTTCAATCTTTTTTCTTTTCATTTTTCTCTCTTTGTCTTTTTTTCTCATTTTCTTTCGTCCTAGAAACGACGAACGATTTTCTTTTCGCGCCGTTGAAATCGGTCAGGTGAACCGAGAGGGGCATTGCGCAACTTTAATGTAAGATAGTTTGACGAATAAGCAGGACTTAAATACCAATTATTCCGTATCAGATAGCAGCGATGTACGTCGACAGCGTACACCCGAGGGCAATTTGTCTGTTTCGTTACAACGCTCGAAGCACGAATTAAATTCCGTAATCCCGTCGTACGGTTTCCTTTTACGATACGTTGTCACGGATATATCTTTATAACACTTAAGCCTTTTATAACGTAATTGTACGTTACGATATAAGAATTTTTCTAACTCGAGTCTTTTTTTCTCTGTTTCCACAGGTTGACCTAGTGTAATACCGTCGTCTTACAGTGAGTCGGAAAGTATCCACACGATCAGAGGAAGGACGTGGCTCCTCGGAACTCGTGATACGTCAGTGATCGTATCGCGGTGGAAATTCCACTCGTTCCTTCGTTTACGTCCGTATCGTTCGCGCGTTTTACCTTCTCCACCCTTCTGGTCACGTGGTCGAACGTTAGTCGACCCGTTACAGAAACGGCCATTGTCTCTGCCAAATTGCAGGAACCCCGAGTGGCGAGTGGTCTCGCGGCTCGAGAAATCGGGACACGAGAAACGTCGTGGCGTGATAATATCATCGTCGAGCACGATGGCTTGCGAATTCTTTAAGGTGAGTCGAGAATTTAAGCAGAGAAAGAAAAAAATAAATGAGATGAAAGAAACACATCATTGTTCATAGTTCGTGCACGTAAGCGCTTGCCAATTTACCGGCAGTAATATTTAATAGTCAGCTAATTGTTTCGTAATTACCGGATATACCTGTACCTACATACTTCTCGAGATTACCAGATTACTTGTTACGAGATTACGGTGTTAATTGATCGAGATGAGATCGCGGCTCAATGATTCCGTAATCGTTGTAGCAGGATAGAATACGAGGATATGATGGCATACCTCTCTCGCGGCTACGTACACAATTTCTTTCGCTTCTGTATCACTAAACGCTTCGAAGTGCAGTGCACGATTTTCGATCATCGATTCTGTGTTCACTTATTCATATTTTTACCCTTATGTTTTACGAACAACGAATTATACAGAATGATTCTCGATACTGGAAACGGCGTGCACGTCTGTCGAGCGATTAAGAAGGGAGAGAGAAAAGAAGAAATCGATACTGTCGAGGTTCGTTTCGGTCCTGCCATTCAGTCACGATACTTTTTCGTCGTTCGATTTATGTAAATCATTCTCGAATCGCTATAGTCGTAAAGAACAGAGAACGGGAAAACTCATTTGGCCAGACGAACCGTGTTATTTCAGATGTGGAATTCCGCATTGGACGCGAACTCGAATTTGCTTAATGACACCGAACGATATTAATAATGCTCGTTACTGTGGTACTTTAATCGTCGCCGGGAGACGAGCCGATGCATGCACGAAGCCACAGCTTAATTACTGCAGCACGATCTTGCAGTAACTGCCTCATCGTTTCCAATTTCACGCGTACATCGGCTGGAATGGAAATTCATAAGCTTCGTTTCGTCGGTATCGACCGTTCGAAAGTCATCGTGGAATACCACGAGTAGAATTTCGTTTCTATCCGAGTTGCGTTTTGAAAAGTACGTATCAGTGTGGGGTTGGTTCGAAAGCATCGGTCGATTCTTCGCATTCGAGTTTCGTTTCTCTATCTACGGCTGTACTTTCGGGCGAAAGTTCGTTGTCAGGGAAGTTGCTCGGGCTTAGCTTTGCGCGCCCATAACCTATGGGCAACTTTGCGTGAATTAATCAACGTGCCTCCCCGTTCTGGCTGCTGTCAGACTTTCAGCGAATTGACACGAGAATCGTTCTGATTAATTTGCAATGAACAGTTATGGACTCCTACGTGGGTCTGACTGCACGTTAAAGCTGGATCGTCAGGGAACACGGTAACGTGGGATCACGCGTAACACGTTCACCGTCGCTTTTCCTATTCTCGATCAGACGTTTTCTTTGTTCTTTTTCTTCTTGTTGTTACATAATTTTTGTTCGAATCCGCTTCCTGCGTGGCTGAATGACATTACCACTTGCGCACTCGTATCCACGCTTGTAATGTGGCGTGCCACATAGTAAAAAGCAAAAAAAAAAAAGAAAAATAAACGGAGAAAAGAAATATGCAAAGAAAAATGAAAATCTACTTCCACTGTGATATCGCATATGGTTCTCTATACGATGCGATAGCAAAGATATTCGTTTTCAAAAAATTCGCCCGAAAAAAAGAAAAAAAAAAAAATGTAAAAACGATAATAACACGTCAAACGCACCATAAATCGCTGCTGTGCAAACTCTAGACGAAGCTTATCAATCAATCTAGAATACATAAAATAACGCAAACACATGAACGAAACCACAACGAACGAGAAACGACAAAACAAAAAAGAAATTTTATCGCTCGTTGCTCTTAGTATTCCTCGGAAAAGCAGCATCGGGTGGTCTTTAGTCAACACAGCCGAGGAAGACGTTGAAGGGGACGATGATGTCGATGTTGTATAAATTCTTCTCTCTGTGTCTGTGTCCTGGCGTGTAGCTCAAACGATGGCCGATTCACGCGGCTTCAAGCCAATAAACCAGTTGTGGCAGAGCGCGGCAGTGTCGACGGACCCGGATTCGGAGTGCCTCTACGAAGAGATCTCGGGCCTTTCGGGGTCCCAGGATACGGAACCAGGGCCGGCTGGTGCCGCCGTCGGGGAGGAGGAGGACGAGGAGGGGGAGGAAAGAGAGGGAGGCTCGATTTCGGTGCACAGGTCGGCGGTAGCAGCTGGTGGAGGCAAAGTAAAGGAAGCGAGAAAAACGCCGCCAGCAGCAACGCCGGCACGGGCGGACGCAAAAGTAGCAAAAGTGTGGGAACTAGCGCGAGATCGCGCAGCAGATCGGCCGATCGGCCATCGAGCGGACGTCAGGACATCATCAGGGTGGAGGAGGAGCAGTATGCCTCACGCAGAAGTTACGTGGAGTCCGGTACAGGCGCCGTACTGCCGCCTCCTGTCACCGGCCTCAAGCTGACCAGGGGGCGTCCAACCAGCACCGTCGCCCGCTATTTGCACTCGGCCTCCACCAACACCGGTCACTATCACCATCATCATCACGGGCTGCACGGACAATATCCAGCCGGCAGCACCGGTAGGCCGACCGGCAGGCATCACCAGCATCATCACCCAAGCCGCGGCTCGTTCAGTAATGAGACGCAGGAAGAGGTACAGGAGGACGATGAAGCCACTCTACGGGAGTTGCTTGTAAGGTACGTTTCCCCGACGTACCCACGATACATACCTCTCTCTTATACTATATACCTTAACGTTTTCTGTGAAACACCTCCACGCGTCTTTTGGATCGATATTATCGCAATAACGCGGCTCTGTTATATATACGACGTACTATTAGTGTACGAGCTTCGCGATCAGAGTTCGGACCTCGAGCGACACTGCTACCACGGAAAGGGAGAGTTTACGTTTCAGAATAAATGATACACGAATACAAATAATTTGCCGAAGACGTTGTCACATGGGCGTCGCCACCGACATCTCTGAGAATTATCTGGATTGTTTGGATGTTACCGTTTTCCAGCCCATTCGTTTCTTCAAGCTAGATTTATCGATTCGTTTGAGTTTCTTTTTTTCTTTTTTTTTCTCTCTCTCTCTCTTTCTCTCTACACATATATACATCGAATTTTTACGTGTACGAACTACGTGGAGGATTTTTCCTTTTTCGCCCCCGTTACGAAATCAGAGATCGAAGAGATCCATTCGATTCGCGAAAAGACACGTTCGTTTACGTTACGAGAAAGTGGTACATGTTTCATGTCGTTAAATTCGATCGTGAACTTTTAATCTTGGCGAATCCTGCGGGCGACGAATGTCTCGAAACATTTTTATGTCCGACTTCATAGTTTAGCGCCTCTCTTCTTAGGATCCTGTATTAATATTCCGTAGTGATCTCTCTCTCTCTCTCTCTCTCTTTCTCTCTCTCTTTCTCTCTCTCTCTAGGCTCTTCTATAGAATTATTATTATTATGTAACGATCTGTTGTTTGTTTCTTCAGCGATTAAAACGTAGCATAATTACTCTTTAGCGATCCTGCGTTTTAACTCGTTCCGACCGTAGTTAATCGAACTTTGACAATTTTTCAAATATCATTCCTTTTCTTTTCGAATAAAAGTCTTTCGAAGTAACTTTAGCTTAGTGCCACGGCAGTTCAGTAGAACAACGTATATAAGCTCTTAAGACTTGCATACCAATTAAGAGAACACTTCTCGCTCTCTATTATTCGCCCTGAAGTACCCAAATCGATAGCACTTACTTATCGATCATAAACTCTCTCGTAGACAAGAATTACTATCCAACGAACCTTTTCCACCGACATTGTTCTTTTCAATGTCTGACAATCTTGCGATGTTCTCTAAACGCATCCAGGTAATTCCCGGCCTAAGTGGCGGTGCCTCGTTCACCTGAGTTACAATTGAACGGAGAGAAAAAATAAAATGAAAAAAACGAAGTAGAAGTAGAAAAGAAAGAGAAAAAGTAAAAAGAAAGTAAAAAAGAGGCAAACGAATCTAAAATGAAAAAAAAAAATAATAATAAAATGAAATAAAAAAAAAAGAAACAGACGTTTTCCCTGCTTATCATTTTACATAGACTCTTTATGTATCAGAGAATGCAATGCAAGGCTTTGTGCCGTGCCATTTATCATTTATACATAAATCACACTCGCTCTAGTCCTATTCTTGTACATACTACACACCCTTGGTCATAAACAGTAATATCGAGACACCGATGATACGTTGTTATACGGTTTTACATGAACTCTTTTGGCTGCGGCGCTCGCAGGCTTACCACTTATTGCTCATATTCCATTCGATGTCATGTCACTTTTCTCGAAGTCAGGTACACAAATAAGTGCGCAAACAGCACCGAAACGATAACGGAGAATATCGAAACGGGACAAAGGAAAACGGGGGTAGCAAGCGAATGCACCGGCAAACGCGAATAGTTTGTGAATCACACGCACGGCATAGTATACGAGCGTTTCTCACCGATCATTGTCTAAACACGATGGTTGTTGTTTGGAGCACTATAATGGAATTCACGTGAAAACCAACTGAATTTTCGTCCGTGCTAGGACGCAGATACGTGTACGACGTGTGTGTTTCCCATAACGGCGCCAGATACGATCATTTCCTTGGCATCGTTCTAATCGATACACTCATATATCGTTACATCGATGTGCCACCAATTGTGACTTATTTGTGTGCGTGCCTCCTGTTATTTATCACTATCATGAGATCATGCTAATTTTTGTCAATTATTTTGCCGATCGATCGTTCCGCATATATAAAGTGATGGGCCCATTCAAATTGCAAGCTCGCTTGTGGACGCGGGCGACTAGGCAGGGGTGAGTAAGCTGGCGGCGCGTCGCATGACGATGCGCGAGGAAAAGAATGAAAAATGAAAAAAAAAAAAAAAAAAAAAAAAAGTAATAAAATAAAAATAAAATTTAGAAAAGAAAGACGAAATGTCTTCACACGTGACGAACCCGTCCTTTAGGAGAATCGGACGTCACGTGACTAATTCGAGCGAATATACCATTATATGACATGATTTTGACTGAACCACGACTGTGTTTCCAAACTAGGTAAAGTTTTACAGAGTGAGTGAGATAAGAGGCAGGGGCGGGCGTCGTCGGCCTTTAAACCCCCCGCCACACGTTACCCCTCCACCTTTGGTTGTGGACCCACTTGACAACAAGCTGTGCAATCGTTCAGAGTCAATTGATTGGATTTGGTGGATAATCCAACGTACGTACATATGTCGTGAACAAAGCAAAGAACAAATAGATCTGTGAGAATAAGACGAAATACTGAATCAAGAGGAGTGAGTGGGGAGGCATAGAGGCTACTGTAGTTTCGGAACACAGCCATGGTCTCCCTACCTCCCAGGTACATGGCAACATCATCACTGCTCTTTCTTTCTCTATCTCTTTCTATCTGTCTATTTACTTATCTATTTATCATTTATTTTTCGATCCCTCTTCTTTATTATCTCCGTGTACCTTTTGATCATTCCTATACGAGTTTCTTTCTTTCTCTTTTATTAAGTTTTCGATTTATCACGCGGGTCATACGTCCCCCCCCCCTCTCTCTCTCTCTCTCTCTCTCTCTCTCTCTCTCTCTCTTTCTCTCCTTCCACTACGGCTCATGTGTTCATTCATTTTTCACTATTCACCTGTCACTCGACGTGCCTTGCGTAAATTTTCTCTCTTTTTTCACTCTGTCACATACTCACAGACACACAGACACACACACATACATACACTCACTTTCTCTCTCTCTCTTTCTTTCTTTCTCTCACTTTCTTTCTCTGTCTCTTGATTTCTTTTTCTGTCTTTCTCGCTCTATTTTTCGTTTTCCTCTTTGGTTTTCTTCCCCGATTAAAACCACCTTTCTGCTTGGCTGTGCACATCGATCGATAAGTTTGCTAAATCTCCTTCGATCGAGAGATTTCTGATTCGTTCATCATGATCTATGCGTATATTATTTATTCATGTCTACATGCAACGTTCAAACGATGAAACCGTGCATTGAATCATATTTTTTACCCACTTGCACATTCCCGCATCGTGTCAGTAGAGATCACGCTTCGCGTGTGCCGAAGCTCTCGCGTGTTTATGGGGAAAACGGTCGTGATATTGAAAAGAACAGAAAAACGAAAAAAAGCAAAAAAAGCAAAAAAAAAAAAAAAAAAGAAAAAATGTAAAAAAAAAAAAAAAAAAAAAAAAAAAAAAAAAAAAAAAAAAAAAAAAAAAAAAAAAAAAAAAAAAAAAAAAGAAAAAAAAAAAAAAAAAAGAAAAAATGTAGATAAATAAATAAATAAAGTAATACTAGGACCAAAGGATGAAATGTTTTTCGTTGCAAAATTCGATCGATTGTTCAAAACTCGCGGGGCGTTTTTACACTAACGGGGACTATAGTTTTCATCTCTCACCTTCACAAACTTCCATCTAATGTGCACAGCTCTAACAACTATGTATATATATATAATATATATATATATTTAAATATATATATATCACCGTAGTGTTTCTCACCTTGACACTCACCCACACACAGTTTAGACGTGCTTTTAGTGGCGTTTGTACGTTGTGCTATTTTTCAATTTAATATATTTCTATGTTCGTATATACATAGACAGAATATGATATATATATAATACATATATATGTGTCTGTATATCTCTGTTTACACGCTACTCGTATACCCAACGTTTCCTTAGCTGCCGAGCTACCGCTGGCTCGCTGAGATTTAAAGCACGAGAGAAGAACATGGTGTACACGATACGCCGATTGTGTAATATCTTTTTTCCCATCGTGATCGGTATCACATTGTCTTCTCGCGTACGTAGATTAAAGACAAAGAAAAAAGAAAAAAAAAAATAGTAGATAGAGATAAAACGAAATGTGAGCGAAAGAGCGAACACACCCCGGTGCAGTAAGCGTACGCTACTGAAGGCTCGGCAGTTTTCGCGCGGAGGTAGTTGGACTTCTGTTTAGGGGACTAGGCATAGTTAGCCTTGATCGTGTCTAGTGTGTCAATGTGCTCGACAATGTCGATTTGTTTTCCCGGGCGAGCCAGCGAGATTCACGTGAGGGTATGTGTGTGTGGGCAGTCTGCAGAAACAGGTCAGCGTTATGAGTATGAACTTGAGTGCCAAGCTGGACGAGCTGCAGCGGGGTGACCGCCAGCTGGAGACCACCGTCGCCCTCTGCGAGATCCGCACGCAGCTGCAGGAACTCACCAAGAGCGTAGAGTCTTGCCAGAGCGAGGTCAGCGAGGTCAAACGGGACATGGTCGCGATCAAGGTACTGTCGATCTTCGTTCAACGCTATCGAGTCGCTTCCATGCCCTGAAATCTCTTAATTAGAGCTCGAACACCGCGAATGCCCGTCGACTTTTCTAGCGTAGTCGTGAAAAAATGAAAAGCAAATGTAAAAAAACGAAAAAAAAGGAAGAAAACTATGTCGAGAAAAAGCGCGCGAGAAAAGAAAAAGGAAGGAATTGGTCATTTTTCCACTTTGAATGTTATTCGCTCGGTGAATATGTCACGTTTCCCTTAAAAATGAATTTTTCTCTCGAAAAAGGATGTTTTCTCTTAAATCGTTCTAGCGTATCGACATGTTGAGGTTAAAACTTTCTAAATCGTATTTCCTAATGTGTTACGCAGCATGAACTAGATACGGTACAGCAGGTGAAAGAAGAAATAGAGGAATTACGAGAATACGTGGATCGATTAGAAGAACATTCTCATCGACGGAAACTTAGACTTTTGGAGCAGGTGACACTTGATCTCTACGATCAGAAAAATTCTTATTTTTTCGGTGTGCTATTTTATTTTACGTACCGAGAGAAGCTCGGTATTGCTTTGAATGACTGTTTATTTGTATAAACTATCATCATCAGCATCATCATCATCACCGCCGTCATCATCGTTATCATCATCATAATTGTATTTGATTTCTTGCGTGATGTAAATATCGTGTTACAGTTGTTCCGTTTTGGTTTTGTTTTATGCATCTCGTTGTACCTGTGCACGATGACCATTTGTTCTAGCGTATGATTTATATAGCTGACGAAGTGTTTTTTAATAAATCATTATGATATTGTTCGGCGTAGTTTTATTTCACCCTTCATCGTCGTTTCTGCCTCATTCGCCTGTTATATGATTTTATTTTCAGTAGAACACGCGCCCATTGATTATTTTATTTCAGGCAGCTATTGTTTTTTCAATTTTCGTTCAAACAAATATTTGTTTCACTTTTCATATCATCCGATATTCAATAATCTATTCGATACTTTCAGGGGCTAACACTTTTCCTGTCGTATGCAATACTGGCAGCAGTTTTAGGAATGTTGCAGTTTGGATACAATACTGGAGTTATTAATGCGCCGGAAGTGGTATGTTGGTTTTTTAAAAAAATGAAGAAATATACGTTTCCGTCAGAATATCTTCTTAATTAGAGAATAGCTCGTTTGCAAATACTTAAGTTAGGCTAAATAAATGGATTTTATATGGCAAAAACATTTATCCGATACGTGGTTTATTCGTTTCAGAATATTGAAAATTTTATGAAAGACGTGTACAAGGATAGATATGGAGAAGACATTTCAGACGATTCCGTGAAGAAATTGTATTCCGTGGCCGTAAGCATATTTGCGATTGGTGGTATGCTAGGTGGTTTTAGCGGAGGGATAATTGCCAACAGATTTGGCAGGTTTGTACCACACTTTTGCAATTTCATTTGCGAGTAATTTCGCTGGGGCTTCCTACGCGCCAGACGTATTCATCGATATAGCGCGTAAACAGTACCTATCGATATTAAAGTTCGCATCGTGCAAACGTATAGCATGATCAGGTAATCAGGTGATCCGATCGATTATGTTTGACCGCTCATGTTTCTTTTTTCTTTCCATTGGCACACAGAAAGGGGGGCTTACTGCTAAACAACGTGCTGGGCATCGTGGGGGCGTGCCTGATGGGTTGTACAAAGATTGCTCACTCGTACGAAATGTTATTCTTTGGACGGTTCATCATCGGTGTCAATTGTGGCTTAAACACCTCGCTGGTTCCCATGTACATATCGGAGATAGCACCACTGAACCTGAGAGGCGGCCTAGGCACGGTGAACCAGCTCGCTGTTACGGTGGGCCTCCTGGTCTCCCAGGTGCTGGGCATCGAGCAAATCCTTGGAACAAACGAGGGTTGGCCAGTTCTCTTAGGGCTCGCTATCTGCCCTGCCATTCTACAGTTATTGCTGCTTCCAGTTTGTCCCGAATCTCCAAGGTAGCGACACCAATCGTGTGGTATAAAGAAAAATCTTTCCAACTTATCGCTAAGGCTCTTCTATCGGTAGAGAGTAGCTACTTAGAGTTTCACAGTAGTAGTAATTCGTTCATTTTAAACGATCGTCCTTCCCGCTACTTCTCTTCTCGCTGACGATTACAGCTTTTCTCTTTTGATCCTCTGCTCTAGATATTTGCTCATTACCAAACAGTGGGAGGAAGAAGCCCGTAAAGCTTTGAGGAGGTTGAGGGCCAGTAACCAAGTGGAAGAAGACATCGAAGAAATGAGAGCCGAAGAACGAGCTCAACAAGCCGAGTCTAGAATATCGATGACAGAGCTCATATGTAGCCCGACTTTGAGAGCACCTCTCGTTATCGGTGTGGTTATGCAACTTTCCCAACAGCTTTCAGGCATTAACGCTGTAAGTAGCGTAGCCCATAAATTTCGTGTACATTATCGCCTCTATGCGCCAAGTTCGAATTCGCTCGGGCACTTGTGCCGTTTAACTTCCGAAACACGATTCATTCGCGAAAGAGGATGTAATAACACGTGAAATTGCTCTGTGTGTTTCAGGTGTTTTACTATTCGACAAATTTGTTCACTAGTTCTGGTTTGACAGAGGAGAGTGCCAAGTTTGCAACCATTGGCATAGGTGCCATTATGGTTTGTATGACGTTAGTATCCATCCCGCTTATGGATAGAACAGGAAGACGTACACTGCACTTATACGGTCTTGGTGGCATGTTTATCTTTTCAATATTCATCACAATTTCTTTTCTTATAAAGGTAAGTTTAAATTTTGGGGGTCTTTCGCTTAACTATGCTACGTACCGTAATATCGATGTTAACCAAGTAAACGTGTAACGTCTGTCATTTCGAAGTGTCCGTACCTTATAGATTCTAAGCGTATAATCGTGCAACAGTGTAACGATGATAGGATCTTGCAATTAAATTATTCGCGCGATAAAAATCAAGTAGAAAGTACTTATCAGCTTTCGCTAAAAGCTAAAGAGAACCAAGTTTTTTTTATCACCGAGAAAGATTGTTTCGTTGAACGTAGAAAACCGATGAAAATCAAGATCTCTTAGGACATTAATTACGCCACAGAGAACGTGGATTGTATATAGCTGTCTCTCTTTGTGCTTTGTCACTTCATGCACCTTGGCGAAAGGTGTATCTAACACTTTGTTCACAGCTGGAGTGCAGCACTGCACCGACAGTGAGAATTATCACCACTTTACGTATATAAATATGCATTCGAGAACTCATTTTAATTTCTCCCGACCATTCATGTAACTTGTAAGATCTATCCTAACTCCTGCATGTTATTATTCATTTGCATTTTAGAGAATACCGATATTCAGTGTATTGACACATAACTAACAGTTCTTGATCAAAAATAACATTATTATTTATATTTATATAAACGTGAGCATATCCAAAGTGAGAATCAATATTTTTGGAAATTCTAAATGTGTCAGATACCTAAGATGCATGCAGTTTCATTTATTTGCTTAGGCTTTAATAATTGTGCTTCTTATAAACCCTGTCACCATCCATACCCTATCCCATCCCCTTTTCACAAACGGCCTCTTTCGTGACTGCCTGGAGGAGACATTTACGCCCTTTATTATTAGTCTATATTCCGGCTCAAACCTGTCACCCTTTTCCGCATAATTGGATCAAAAGTAATATTTATCGACTTTCCGATCTCGTATCTTTTGCATCCGATTTACGACGCGAAATAAATTTATTTCTGAATGCTAAACATGTAGCACTATTTATTGCTTCCTTCGCAACGCTATACCTTATTGTCGCGTGTTACTATTTCTATATGGAATAGAAAATACAAGTCGTAGAGAAGAATTAGAAGATCCAGTTCACCGGAATTTTCCGCGGCGATCGTCGCGATCTATCGCGATAATACCTCGCGTATGTATACCTTGCTCGGGTAAATTGCGTGAACGTTTGTATGTCTGGCGCGTAACTACTCACACGTTTATGTTCTCCAAAGTCTAGAAGCAACGTGTCCTAATTAATCCTTAGGTATAAAATGGCCAGTCATATCGCTTGAACGCTTGAACAGGAAAATGTTACTGTACATAATAACAGAGCACGTTACGCATTGTCGCAATCGCATCATCGCCTTAAACACAGGGTTGAGCTGCACACTGCATGCCGTTTATTATTCAGTTCTCTTCGTTGAGTTCCGTAGGTCTTACGATTTTTTTCTCCTGAGAGAGACTCCTCCGGCTGCTCAGGAAAGAAGAACACGATTCTACTGCCTGATAGGAGTTTTTCGGTTATGTGCAGGAAATGATTGACTGGATGTCCTATCTATCGGTCGTGTCCACGCTCGGCTTCGTGGTATTCTTTGCTGTCGGGCCTGGCTCCATCCCGTGGATGATCACAGCCGAACTATTCTCGCAAGGTCCTAGACCTGCTGCCATGTCTATCGCGGTTCTTGTCAATTGGATGGCTAATTTTTTGGTTGGCATCGGTTTTCCAAGTATGAAGGTAAGATTGCAAATTTTCCCATGTTTGAATGCGAAAGAAGCAAATTTCACTCGCGATCGCGGGTTTTCTTTCTTTCCAAAGGTTCTCTGTACCTTGAAACGGAGACAAAAGACACTTTCATGCGGGAGAACACGGTTGACATTTGCTATTTTTACGTTGACCCCTTGTTTTCGTGTGTTACAGACTAGCCTTGAAAACTACACGTTCCTACCATTCAGTGCATTGCTAGCCATCTTCTGGATCTTCACGTACAAGAAGGTTCCTGAGACCAAGAATAAAACATTCGAAGAAATTCTAGCTTTATTCAGGCATGGTAATGACAGGTACGCAATAAATAAGCCACTTAATACCATTCCTAATACGTATAGCAAATCATTAGATAGATAATCTTCTGTTTCCAAGCCTTTTTCTTTTCGCTAATTTTCAACGATCTTTCTTACACCTATTATAAGTATTATCCTGTATGTACCATGGCTCTATCAGAAGACGGCTTGTTCGTTTCCATTTTGCCTCTTTTCGTTTTCATTTTGATTTCTTGTCGAAGCGTGAACAAGATCTAAGCAACAAAAGACTTTGTATCAATGTTTTATTACACGTGTCGATCTGTTAACGATAAACGCGGAACGAATTATTTCGTTTTCTCTCGGAGAACGATTCGTATTCTGTGCATTCGATGCATGATACACTGTTATCATATCCGTCCACGCATCCGCCCGTCTCTACCTTAAAACGAAGCGTCAACTATGTACGTAACAGGTGACTTCTTAATTGTTATTCGAATTTAACAGAAAGAGACAGAAAAATATCGCAAAAATGGAAAAGGAAAGGAAATGCACGCCTTTAATTCACATTCGGCAATCGATACGATATTTATACGTACATACATAGAAACGTTCGTCGTGCGAAAAGTAGATGAAATAATTGTATACGATTAATCGAGTAGATAGCATAACGAACACGAAACGCTTGTTCGAAACTCGTTGACGAAGATAAAAAGAAGAAAAAGAAAAAGAAAAAAAAAAGGAAAGATAAGAGAAAAATACGAGCGCAGTAATTATCTTAAAATGAATCGAATCACGCATATGATATTGCACAGTATTATGCTATATCGTACACTCGAAGATCTGTATGAGCTTCTTTTAACCAACAATTTCGCAACAATACTGTGAACTTCATTAATTATTATTGTTGTTGTTATTATTATATCGAGCATATCGTTGCACAATTTCTCTAATTATTACTTTTTATGCATTACTTAGATAAAACATGACGTTGAAACTGCGTAACCTTACGAAAATAATTGAGGCGCGCTGTCAATTTGGTAGGACACTAAGACCACTCTACGCGTCCGTATGTGTATCGACGCCTAACCGAGGCTACATTACGAATTCAGCTGTGATAAAAGAAAAAGAAAAAAGAAAAGAAAACAAAAAAAAAATGAGAAAATTCACATTTACGAGGAAAACAAAACTTGGAAGCGGTATCGATTGACTCGTACGCGTGCTTACACGTCGCTGAATTGTATCCGGAGTATACACAGGGAAAGTCAAATAACATTTTCGTGAAGTACTCGATTAAATTTCGCGTATTACCATTCGATCGTGAACAGCGTTACCATTTAAATGCTACGAAAATGAATACACGAATACCCGTCGTTTGAGATGTATTAGAGTTTCGAGATTCGATTGCAAATAAGACGAGAAGTTAATTCCGTATCGTAACGTAGGGGAGTAAACAGAAAATATTTGAGATTATATTATGTGTATGATATCATGAAACGTTCATGGTGATTGTCGCATGGTTGTATAGTAACAGTTTATTGTTCATATCATATAGTAGTATAGCCGACAAAATTTTCTCGGCAATTGACGTTACACCGATCAAAGTCTTTCTTGTAATATACAGAAGGTACAACATCGTTCTCGTAGATTCGCGTGTTCTTTATTGATAGATATTTTTGTTCGCCGATGAATATCATCTATCCAATGATTTCTTTCGTTCTCGTTGTTTCCTTGTCGTTGTCCCTGATGTTTGAAAAGTTGAAAAATGTGGTCAAAGCAATTCGAGCCGATTTAACGTGGTCGAAGCTACGATCGTTTGTTTTACCTTCAGGTTGTGATTTATTTGAAATTTCCGTAATTATTATGGATATTCATTTGTAAAACGTACTGAGCTTGAAGCTTTATAGTCTTATTGTTACGTATTTCCCAAGGCCAAATGGATATTATTATATTTATTTGTTTAGCATATTGTATATGTATTATTTGAATAAATCGTTATTTAATGGTTCTGGTAAATTCATTAAGTTCTGAAACTACCGTATTTTTTACGATGACAATAATTATGTTCTACATATCGTAATTGTGCTTTCTATGTTATTTGGAGCAGGAGCAGCTTGCGGGACAGCAGACTTTATGGGTGAGTCAGACAATACATTCCCTGTTACTGTGGTGGCTTTGTTACAATATACCATATATGAATTTCTAAAGATTATTTAACTGCATGAAAATCGATTATTAAAGACACCACTAGTCGTCTTTAAAGAAAGGATTATTTTTTAGCGATCATCTATTATACATCTTTCATTTATGCCAAGCCATTCGAATACAGTCGCCTATAGACGTTATCTATATTATATTTGTTACACAATTTTCATTTGTACGAAGGTGAGACTTTTAATGTGCGTGAAATTCGAGCTCAGTTTATCCTCTCGATCATTGCTTCTGCAAGCGAAAAATAATCCTGCCCCTGCCTATTTAAATGACTACCATTAACTTCGGTCTAACAGCCTGGCATGTTGAAACATCTTTACTTACTATCAGCTCATGTGAGTTTCCATCTCATGCGCTATACCAGTCAGGCTAATTAATCGTAAAAGCGAGAACAAAAACATAGATTGCATGAATAACTCGTTTACGACAAATTGTAATTTTTCGTTTTTCTTTTGCGAAGATACATTTCACAGTTTCTAATAGTTCTTCAGGGCTATTATGTGATTAATACCAAATGCTTTTAGCGATCACGTGTGAGAATAAAAGAAACGAAAGAAAGTGCAATTCCTAATGACTTGTTGGTAAGGTTTGCTATACATAACAGCCCCGACTACTTGATTCCCTCCTGGAGCCTTGTGTTTTACAGCATGCTCCTCTTTAGTCTACCAATACCCGATAAATGTTCGACGACAGATCAGTCTTGGAATAATTTTCATGTCGATAGTTGGCACGAGTTTATGGCGCTGTACTGTGCGATTGCATGTTAGTGCTTACATTACTGTTTGGCGTACAAATCATTTCTCAGTTGTATACAAAGTGATATAGACATATTTTACTTCGATAGGCAAACGCAGCAAGAGCCGCTTTGCATAATCTCTTATCATCGTTCGCGCAAAACAAAAAGCAGTAGAAAAAAAGACTGAAAATTGGTAAAAGAAAAAATTTAAAAAAAAAAGAGAAAGAAGGGAAATGTTAACGTGAAACGTGGAAACAATTTCGCGTTCACGTTCCCTTGTTTGATCAGTGCAGCTCTTGATAAACTCGCAAGCTACGCAATTATTTTCTTTTTTTTCTTTTTTCTTTGACTTTTGTCCCCTTTGTTTCTGTTATGAATTACGCTAAAACAAGGTTTTGCCGAAACATTCGATGAATCGTTAACAGCTTTTATACATATACATATATACATATGAATGAATTCTAATCGATAGTCGATCTATGGTTGCTTATGATTTAGTGAAATTTTATTAAATTTCTTCGTTTATAACAGCCGTACGCTAGATGATAAACGACATAGAATTAGTATGAAAAGCCATTTTCTTCTTGTCTTTTATGATCGAATGAGTGCTACTTATCAATTTATGATTGTGTATGTTTAACTTTTACTGTGTCAGTAAACGCATTTATGTGATCATCAGTATTATATATACATATACATATATCCATTTATATTTATAAACTGCTTAGGTAAATTATGGTAACGGGTCAATGACATAACGTGAAGGAATTTCACCATCACCCACACGATTGTTCACCGTTCTTTCAATCGTAACAAATATATACAGCTTGTACCATTACGCCATTTAACATTAACATTTAATAACACTACGGTTGTCAAATCTCGAGCAAGCTGTATATCTAACTCGTTGACAAAATTTCCATCGAGATGATTCCTATTGAGAAGAAACCAGTCTCTATAGTTCAAAAAAGGAGACTGATTTTTGCAACATTAGGAATCACTTGTTCTCAAAGTACGTATCCTTCGATACAGTACAGACTCTTGTTTCTTTCTCGCTTCTTTAACACATCTCTGCTGGAGAACTCTATGAATTATTCCCAAGACGGAAGTAGTAGTAGTAGATAACACGACTTGTCTCTGCGGTACAAAATGGGTTACTTCGTATCGGATTTATCGTCAGACGACAGCTAATCAGGCTGCTATGTCGTTGCGTGTGATAAATCGAAGCGAGTGTTCCTCGAAATTACGAGGATACGCTGTTTAAAAATCTCGAACGACCCCCTTTTTTTTCCTTTTTTTTTTTCTTTCTTTTTTTTTTTTTAATTCTCACGACACTAAGATACATAATGCGTGTGTACGTTCTTAGAATAAAAAGCTTCCTTGTACGTACGGTGCGAAATTAGGATTTCTCTCTGAAAATCGAACAAACAAAAACGATTCGAGGCTCGTTGGCCATGTAACATTATTATATTGCAGGGAAGAGGAGCTCGCCACTAACTCTAGCAAGGAGACCGTCCTATCTGACGCCACCACTGCCAACCATACCCATGCTACTGACAAACCATAAAAAAAAAAAAAAAAAAAAAAAAAAAAAAAAAAAAT